TTTAAATCTTATCTGCCATTATAATAAGTGATGAAATATTTCAATTGTCCCATGTCATCTTCATTATTCAGTTTCTTTCAAGAAAATACAAAATGTGAATCAAGTTTTTTCGCAGATACATGTACGCGTCGCGTACCTATTTTTAAAGATGGTTTCCCAAATTACAATGCTTGGTATCGTTGCTACACTACAAACGATGGTGAATTCGGTTCATGCAACACTACAAATTATGATGAGATAGTAAGATATCTGATATGGTCGGGGCGAACAACATTTCCAAAATGTGATGCTAGAAGTGCATCTTTATTAAAGCAGATCATTGAAAAGCAAATGCCCTTGAGTTTGTACGAATTGTTAAAAGCAGGTGTTGATATGAAATGCACAGAAGTTGAATCGATTTCCCGGCCTTTTTTACAACATCTTAGATTAGGCGGACGACAGCTGAGCGAGGTGTTTCAAATATTTGAAGTTGACATCTCGTTAGAGTGTGGAACTACTTTTACTTCATCAGAGTTGGATCTAATATCCTATTTAGCATTACCTGATGATTTGGGTAATTTTTTTAAACCTCTCGTCAAAGATCGTTCTCCTTTACAAAAGATGATCGATAGACATCCGGACGGTGTTGGCATTTTAGAGAAATGCTACGACATTGAAGGCTACTCACCTTTACACCGTGCTGTCCAAGGTGGAAATCTTAACGCTATAGAATGGTTTAAAAGTGTCGGGGTTAACACAGAACTGAAAACACATAGAGGCCTTACTGCTCTTGATCTTTCTATGTTGTACTTGAGTGATATTAGTCAAGCCGAACTTATTGCTTCGACAAAAAGTACTCCATATTCTTGGAGGAGAAGTAAGCATCAGGTTCCTTTGACGATATCGAACTATCGAACAGAGGTATTTGAAGAATTGTTACGAACGTTTTTTAACGCAACTCCAGAATCAGAGTTTACATGTGGTGCGAGCTTGGAAGGACTATCGCCCCTGTATATAGCAGCAGTAAAAGGAATGAGTGTGTTACGATACGTGCACAGAAAAGCTTCTGAAATGTTTCCAAATTTACCTTTGAATTGCGTAAATAAACATCGGTTAGACTCCGTGTATGTGGCGCACTTTTATGAAAGTCTCTTAAATGAAGGGTTGATTGATAAATATTCAAAGGATTCTGACGTTAACTTTGAACAAGAGACAAAAACTTCCAAAAAGGTGGATTCAAAGACTAACAACAAGATAAAGAATGGACCTCAGTCGGATAGAAGTAGCATCGATGAAAAAGATAGTCATGATAGCAAACCACTGGTTCAATACCCAGATCGCGGAGTGGAATATTATATGACATTCAATTATTTGTATCATTCACCGTGCTTTAAATACACAGATGAACATCTGCATATGGATATACCTAAAGGTATACGGATAATTGATTGTCCTGGCTATCACGACAAAATTAGCACACCAAAAGAGGAAACAGTACCGGATGTAGATTTCACCGAATGTTCAAAAATACAAGTTCGCCGTAACTGCTATTGGCCACTATGCGAACGCGAAATTTTACAAAACCACATTCGCAAATACCCTTGTCCAACAATGACCAGGAGATTACATCACTGGTTCGTGCCTCATGATCATCGAAGACGAAATCGTCAAATCAGTCAGTTTATTGCCAAAAGGCTTGGTTGGGACAATGTTCCTGAAGTAAAAGATATCAAAAATCGTTGGCCACTTTTCTTTTTGCACAACATGGTTTTGAGTAAGTACGAGTCTTGGGAATATCTCAAGATCTTAAATGAAGCTTTGGAAGTGGCAGACGTTCGCTTTTATAGTCGAAATGAACCACTTGACGTTATGTTGAATACTTCAATCCAACTCAACATTATACCATTGAATATAAACCAGACAAGGATTCAGAGTCCACTAATTAGAAGGTTTCAGGGATTCTAACAATACACTCTATTCAGGGTGTTCCAATAATAAATAGCTGCATGTTAAAGATTATTACACAGCTAATTATACATAGTGGGCATCGAATATTAACCCAACTGATGCATTATCTCAATGTTCCATTGGACGAACAAGCTTATTTTAACAGCTATAACATTGGTTCTACTATATTGTTAATTGGCATAGGAAATGATTTAATTAAGGAAAATGCAATCTATGAGCAGGGAAGCATCTGAAGCGAAGCGAAGCATTTGAAGTTGGAGGGGAGGGGGTGTCGGAGGATTTTACTTGAAATTTGAAATTCAATGTTAAAAATTTACCTGAAGTTAGTTAATTATAATGGATTTTTCAGAATGATTTTTACTGTCACACTAAGAAGGGTGGTCAGGTGGCCCTCCCCTAGAACATTTATACATTTTTTAAGCTCCAGGACTGCATTTCTGGCGTTTTCTAAAGCAAATTCGCAAACGAATTGGATCTAAATTAACTGTATTTTACAAAAATGGTTATCATTTCACAAAAATAACACCTTTATTACGCGAATTTTACCTGCATGAAAATGTCAAAATTTTAAACTTAAATTTTACCTGAATTTTACTTGAGTTTCACATGCAGTTGGGGTGGGGGTACATCCCCCACGCACACCGGTCGCTACGTCCTTGTCTATGAGACGAATTTTGACATTCCAATGGACCACTGAAATCATGCATCAGTTGTGTTACTAAGTATGAATAGGTTTGATGACTTTTTACTTTAA